TGGGAGGACATCACCATGGATTTTATCGAGGGGTTACCACTCGAATGGGTTCAATGGAGTCATGGTGGTAGTCGACCGCCTTACCAAGTATGTGCATTTTATTCCACTCACTCATCCATACACGGCTAAGTCAATAACAAATTTGTTTGTTGAATACGTGATGAAATTGCATGGGGTGTCGCGGTCAATAGTGTCCGACCGAGATCGGATATTTATGAGTAGTTTTTGGTCAGAGTTCTTTAAATTGCAGGGACCGAGCTAAGCATGAGCTCGGCTTATCACCCATAAACCGACGGACAGACTGAGCTGACCAATCGCACACTCGAGCAGTACATTAGGTGCTATGTGCATCAGTTTCCAAAGCGATGGGAGGATTATTTACCTTGGGTCGAGTATTGGTATAACACCACTTACCATTGCTCGACTAAGGCGATGCCGTTCGAGTTGGTGTACGGGCGTAAACCGCCGACGATCGTGAGTTACTCGATGGGGAGCGCCGTGAACGATGAGGTCGATCGAGAGTTGGTCGAGCGCGACTTGATGTTGCGCGAGCTAAAGCGGACGTTGGAGGGCTCGATCAATAGGATGAAGGCATACCATGATGGCAAACGTGGAGTTCGAGCCCGGAGACTGGGTGTACTTGAAGTTGAGGCCGTTTCGGCAAAGGACGACTGCGCAAAGGGCCGCGACCAAGCTCGGAGTTCGATATTACGGGACTTATAAAATTTTGGCCAAGGTTGGGAAAGTTTCTTATCGACTTGAGTTGCCGGATGATTCCCATATTCATCCGGTTATACACGTCTCACAACTCAAGCAACGACTCGGCGAAATGCACGCGGCGAAGGATCGACTACCCGCGGTCGCGCCGGACGGGCAGGTTATGGTGCGGCCGAGCCGCGCAATGGAGTACCGGCAAGTCAAAAAGGCTGGAAATATTTTTGGGAGGTGCTCATCGAATGGGAAGACTTGCCGAATGAGGAGGCGACGTGGCAAAGTTGGGACGAGATGCGCGAGATGTTTCCCGACTTCTTTCTTGAGGACAAGGAAGCACTTGAAGGGGACG